TATTTTTCACCTTAACTTGTGTCTCAGTTCCCACCTGAGAAACAGGACATTGACTTTGTTTCAACCACAGAGAACTTTGCAAAGATGATTTATGATTACAAAGATGCGACAGAAATGAGCATAAACGGCCTGAGCCAAAATAAGTGAAAGAACATGTCCCCAATGAAGGTGACCTCCAGAAAAGTTTGAAAACCCTTGTCTCGGTTGTTCAGCAAAACAAAGTCTTTGGAATCTAGTCTTGTTTAGCACCTGGAATCCCCACATGTGACTGCCACCTATTACATGCTACCCAGTTTCTGGCCCAACTCTCAACTTTTTCCTCAAGGGTCCTCTCACACAGGTTGTTTGAAGACTCGTTAAAGTAGACTTTGTAGAGAGTGATGTAGGCTAGTTATCTCTAACGTGACACATCATGGTACAGGAGAATGATCCTGTTCTCAACAATCATAATACAGGCATACCTCGTTTTATTGCACTTCGCTTTATTGCGCTTCGCAGATATTGCGTTTTTTACAAATTGAAGGTTTGTGGCAACGCTGCATCGAGCAAGTCTATCAGCACCATTTTTCCAACAAATGATGGTTAGCATTTTTTAGCAATAAAGTATTTTTTAATTAAGGTATGTACATTTTTTTTTAGACATAATGCTATTGCACACTTAACAGACTACAGTATAGTGTAAACATAACTTTTATATGCACTGGGAAACCAAAAAATTCGTGTGACTCACTTTATTGCGATATTTGCTTTATTGCGGTGGTCTGGAACTGAACCCGCAATATCTCCGAGGTATGCCTGTACTGTTCCCCTTGCGGAATCAGAAAATTTAAGATGTAGTAACTATATTTCTGATTTTTAATCTGAAAATGCCTTTAATCATCTACAAAACATGGCACAGTCAAAAAGGTTCAGCATAGCTACTCAATTAATAGAAATTTCCTACTTTGATAATATTTTATCTGTCAGTAAATAATGAAAGGAAATCTTATAACAAAAGTGCCTAACAAACCAAGTAAATATTTTCTGTATGTTCCTAACCTTTCCTCTTTAATAACTTGGGGCACAAAACAGGAAAGAAGTCCTCACTATTTTAATATTCAGAAATATGACAGATATCTGTTATCCTTAGTTGTATTTAGAAAATACACTGACCACTATATGTCAGAGAAATCCTTTTTCTAATAATATTATTAGATTTTAGTTTCAATAGCTTTACGTTTAACCTACATCCTAATGTTCCTAGCTTCAGTGGTCTACAGCTTTATTTGCTAGCATACAACTGGAAAGGATACCCCACATTCCATCCATTCTAAAAGCTCTAGTGAAAGTGGCTGAAAATCAGAACTTAAGACCGGATTCTTTCAGGGTAGAACTGCACTTGGTAAGTGACTTTAAAAAGACATTGTAAAACTTCATGTTTCTTGATTTCTCCCCACCCCATATAAATCCCATTTTTAAAATATGAAGCACTGTACTTTCTAGTATTTTGCATAGTTCAAATTAATTTTTTGCTCTAAAAGAAAAAAAAAATTAATAAAAATAGCATAATTTCTTCACCCAGAGCTAAAGCCCATAGTCTCATGACAGTCTCCTTCTTCTCAATTTACACTCTACTCTTGCAGCCTAGTTTAGCTTTGAGAAATTTAATGGAACTTCAAAAAGTGAACAATTTTTAACAGAAGACATCTTGCACATTTGCAAGAGGCAGTATCAACTTTGTAAGTGTTAGCATGAGGTAATAAAAATGTCTTGGCTATCAGAAAAGAATTAAGGAAAGAAGTAGGTGGGACAGAAAAAACAAGTATTTCAGTTAATACAGTATAACCTCAATCCTGGCATGCTCGGGACTGAACACTTGCCGGAAATGTGAAAATATCAGATTTTTTAAACTGGTGTGGCGGCCGGTTGCTTAGGGAGGAAGTGGGTAGCAGGTAGCAGCAGCTGGTTTTGGAGCAGTGGCTGCACATGGAGCAATAACACAGGGTGACGAATGGTGGTGGCAGCCACCGTGTGCAAGCTTCCCCCTCTGCATGGGGGGGCGGGGGGAGTGATACCCAGTCCCGGAGTGCCTGGGGGGGGGAAGTGCTGGATTTTTGATAATTCTGGATTTATGAGGTTATACTGTATATAGAGACTCAGATTCTTTGGTCAAAGATATTTTTTGGAAATAAGTGTCCAAATCTATTAGGAGGAATGAAAACTGACTATAGTATTGCACACAGTCTCCTTAAAAGTCTGTCTATACAACTGGAAATAGGAGTCTTAGGTACATAATTTAATATAACAAAAGAACATATATAAAACTATAGAATTTGACCAAGTAACATCTGTGCCATCTTAGTTGTAAACCTGGGGAGTAAAACTCTTTAGAGATCATTTTATAGCCAGCAGCTCAAGAGAAGTGGTTAGAGCAGTGATTAGAGGTTTAGATTAAAAAATGTTTAAGAATTATGTCATACGCTCTTTAAAAAAAAACTGTCAGAGCATTTACAAAAATGAGTATTAAGCATGCTGCTAAGTTGTGTCTCTGAAGTATTAGTATGATTATGGTAGTACAGTACTTTGTCAATGCGCCATTAAGTCATGGAGTTACATACAATGCTAGAACTTGGGTGTAATACAGGATCCTCTAGTGCTTTTACTAAGTAGTTATGAACATACAGAAGGTGCTGTGCTTCAAGTGGGAGTCACTTGAGGTCCCACTTACTCATCTTTGTCCCCAGTAGAAGTGGTTCTCCCCAGTATTGCGGCCCCAGTGGCCCCGCCCCTAGATGATGACCAGCTATGAGGGCCATCATGCAGCCCTGCCCCTCACTGCCAATTGGAGGGGTGGGGCCACATAATAGACAACCCTCTCAGCCAATCAGTGGTGAGGGGTGGGGGCAGCAGCTTGGGCTCCCCTGTATGCCAGCAGCCTTCCTTCACCCCCCACCATCAGGATGTGCTACCAGGCCGCAGTACCGCGAAGACTGCTGGCTCTCTCTGGGAAGCCGGCCTTTTATTTTCAGTAAATTGTTTCACTTTCTTATTTTTTT